TGGAGTGTGAGGCCGAGATGAGATCAGCCATGATGTATTGAATGGTGAAGTGGGAGGGCGAGATGAGATCAGCCATGATGTATTGACTGGTGGAGTACGCCTGAGGGGCTGAATTGCCTGCACCTGCTCATAGTTCTTAAATTTTTATGTTCTACAGAAGAAATTAGTGTTAGGAAAGCAGTGGTACTTCACTGGGATTGATTGACTGTAAAGGATATTGCAGGGAGAAGGATTGAATTTTATCGTATATATTAAGATCTTTCTAAATTGTTTTGTATAGATTTTTAGGGCTTTACTGTGTAATAAACTTCTTCAATAAATTTAAACATACAAGATTCGATGGGGCTTGATGGGGTAGATGTTGAGAAGATGCTTCCACTATTAGGGGAATCTTGAATAGAGGTCATAGTTACAGAATGAGGGTACAGTCATTTAAAACTGAGATACAGTGGAATTTCTTCTTTCTGAGAGTAATGAATGTCTCTCTACCCAAAGGAGTTGTAACAGTTAGATCACTGAAAGTATTTTTTTAAATTCATTCACGGGATGAGGACGTCGTTGGCTAGGCAGTATTTATTGCCCATCCCTAATTGCCCAGAGGGCAGTTAAGAGTCAACCACATTGCTGTGGGTCTGGAATCACAGTAGACCAGACCAGGTAAGGACAGCAATTTCCTTCCCTAAAGGACATTAGTGAACCAGATGGGTTTTTCCTGACAATCAACAATGGATTCATGGTCATCGTTAGATTCTTAATTCCAGATAATTATTGAATTCAAATTCTACCATCTGCCGTGGCAGGATTTGAACCTAGGTCCCCAGAATGTTATTTGGGTCTCTGGATTAACAATCCAGTGATAATACCACTAAGCCATTGCCTCTCCCCTATTTGAAGAGGTGGTAGATAAATTTATCAAGGAGTTAAACCATGATCTTCCAGAAGGACAGGACAGGCTTGAGGGGCTGAATGGCTCAGTCCTGGTCCTGTTTTCTTTCATTCTTATTCCCTTGGGAAAAGAACATCGACAGTCTCATGTGAAATTGTTCAGTGACTGACCAACATGATAACAAAACTGCTAAAGTAAAACTTAAGCCCTCTCAAGCTAGGTGTTAATCTGAGATCTGAGTTGTCCAATATTGCCATCAACTGGGATTGTATCTTGAATATTTCCAGTGTATTCCATTTTTATTATAGTGAGTATCTGATGCTAAAGTTAAAGTTGCCTTAATGCTTATGCCCCAACTCAGTGACTCTAAAATCATCAAATAACTTTATTGGATAGACCTAGTAATGGTTTGATGGCTTTCAGACTTGATTTTAATTTCCATGTCTTATTGCATATAAAATGAATATTATGTCTTAGAACATAGAACATAGAACATTACAGCGCAGTACAGGCCCTTCGGCCCTCGATGTTGCGCCGACCTGTGAAACCAATCTGACACCCATCTAACCTAAACTATTCCATTATCATCCATATGTTTATCCAATGACCATTTAAATGCCCTTAAAGTGGGCGGGTCTACTATTTTTGCAGGCAGGGCATTCCACGCCCTTACTACTCTCTGAGTAAAGAACCTACCTCTGACATCTGTCCTATATCTATCACCCCTCAATTTAAAGCTATGTCCCCTCGTGCTAGCCATCACCATCCGAGGAAAAAGGCTCCCACTGTCCACCCTATCTAATCCTCTGATCATCTTGTATGTCTCTATCAAGTCACCTCTTAACCTTCTTCTCTCTAACGAAAACAGCCTCAAAACCCTCAGCCTTTCCTCATAAGACCTTCCCTCCATACCAGGCAACATCCTGGTAAATCTCCTCTGCACCCTTTCCAATGCTTCCACATCCTTCCTATAATGCGGTGACCAGAACTGTACGCAATACTCCAAGTGCGGCCGCACCAGAGTTTTGTACAGTGCAACATGACCTCGTGGCTCCGAAACTCAATCCCTCTACCAATAAAACCTAACATACTGTACGCCTTCTTAACAACGCTATCAACCTGGGTGGCAACTTTCAGTGATCTATGCACATGGACACCGAGATCTTTCTGCTCATCCACACTACCAAGAATCTTACCATTAGCCCAGTACTCTGTATTCCTGTTACTCCTTCCAAAGTGAATCACCTCACACTTTTCCGCATTAAACTCCATTTGCCACCTCTCAGCCCAGCTCTGCAGCTTATCTATGTCCCTCTGTAACCTGCAACATCCTTCTGCACTATCCACAACTCCACCGACTTTGGTGTCATCCGCAAATTTACTAACCCATCCTTCTACGCCCTCATCCAGGTCATTTATAAAAATGACAAACAGCAGTGGCCCCAAAACAGATCCTTGAGGTACACCACTAGTAACTGAACTCCAGGATGAACATTTCCCATCAACCACCACCCTCTGTCTTCTTACAGCTAGCCAATTTCTGATCCAAACCGCTAAATCACCCTCAATCCCATGCCTCCGTATTTTCTGCAATAGCCTACCATGGGGAACCTTATCAAATGCTTTACTGAAATCCATATACACCACATCAACCGCTTTACCCTCATCCACCTGTTTGGTCACCTTCTCGAAGAACTCAATAAGGTTTGTGAGGCACGACCTACCCTTCACAAAACCGTGTTGACTATCCCTAATCAAATTATTCCTTTCTAGATGATTATAAATCCTATCTCTTATAATCCTTTCCAACACTTTACCCACAACCGAAGTAAGGCTCACTGGTCTATAATTACCAGGGTTGTCTCTACTCCCCTTCTTGAACAAGGGGACAACATTTGCTAGTCTCCAGTCTTCTGGCACTATTCCTGAAGTTTTGTCATATCTGAAGATAGTATTGTACCATATTTTTGAATTTTGTAGTGTTTGTTTCCAATTGGCTCCCTCCTATCATTGAAGAACCATCAAGTTATAACAGTCGAGGCGTTGGGGTCTGTGAAGAAGGGTTTACACCCCATACAACAGCGACTGGCTGATTATAATGGAAGTCAGTGTGGATTCTGCAGCCCAGGTTTTGTCATGCAGATGTTTGGGTAAGTGCAGACAATTTCCTTTATTAGCTGTCCAGTTAAATATCTTCGTTTGTTTAAATGTGTTTTCACATACCACTCAGGGATCTGCGGGACATATAAAATTGTAGCTTTCCCTAGGAAATCTTTTTTTCTTTTTTATGCTAATTATAACACCAAAACCAAACTTGATGTGGGATTTGTGGCTTTTAATTGCCAGCAGCAGGTTGTCTTCTTATTAGTATTAACTGCTTTAAAATGAAGCTAAGAAATGCAATGACAGATATTAACCTCTTGAGTCCTAGAAATCGGCAGTGTTTCCTGGTGAGCTCTGCTACTTCCCTCACTCAGCCATGGGGTGGTGGAGGCCATCCTGTGATCAGTGTCTATGTTAATGTATGTGCAGCTATTATTCTCTTCATGTCCAGCTCACTACACATGCAGTGTAGATGTCTGGCTACAGGGGCTTTCTTGCAATCGTAGAGAAGTCTCTTGCTGGGGTTCTCTCTTTGAGGATCAAGGAGGCCTTTAATTATTTTCGTAGACCACAATTATTTTTAAGGGTCCTGGCTTCTATCCCAACCTGCGCCCAAAGTGAATTCTGTAATTATACAATACAGTCATTCCATTTATAACACAGAGGGAGGCCATTTGGCCCCTTGAAATAGAACTGGCTCTTTTGAAGATCAATCCAGTTAGCCCATTCTCTGCTATTTCATCCAGTCTCTACAATTTTTCTCCTACAAATATTTATCTAATTTTCTTTTTACGGCTCCAATCAATTCTATATCTACCATTTGTGCAGGCAGAATGTTCCAAAGATGAGCCACTCGATGCATGGAAAGAGGAATAGGCCATTCAGCCCATCGACCCAGCTCGCCATTTAATACGAAATGGCTTATCGGGCAGTTCAGTGCTTTTTACCCATATTATTCCCATTGGAAATCAGAAATCCATCAATCTCTCCTTGGAAAATACTCAAAGAATGAGCTTCTACAGCTCTCGAGGATAGAGAATTCCAAAGGTCCACAATTGTGAGTAAAAAAACAAGTTCCCAGCCCTAAATGGTATCCCACTTATTTTTAAATTGTGTCCCCTGGTTCCAGTTTCCCAAACCAGGGTAAGCATTTTACCTGCATCTACCTCTTTTAAATATACTGTTTCAATGAGATCCCCTTTCATTCATAGGATCCCTACTGTGTGGAAACAGGCCCTTTGGCCCACCAAGTCCATGCCAACCCTCAGAGCATCCCGCCCAGACACATCCCCCTATAACCCACGTAAGTTACACATCCCTGAACACTAGGAGCAATTTAGCATGACCAATCCACCTAACCTGCACATGTTTGGACTGTGGGAGGAAACTGGAGTGCCCACAGGAAACCCACGCAGACATGGGGAGAGTGTGCAAACTCCATATAGCTAGTAGCCTGAGGGTGGAATTGAACCCGGGTCACTGGTGCTATGAGGCAGTAATGCTAACCACTGAGCCACCATGCCGCCACTTCAAAGCTCTAGAGAATACAGGCCCAGTTTACCCAATCTTTCTTCATAGACCAGTCCTGCCATCCCAGGAAGTAGCATGGTGAACTATTGTCACACTCCCTCTATGGCAATAATATCCTTCCTGAGATATGACATGGGGGTGCTGGTGTTGGACTGGGGTGGACAAAGTCAGAAGTCACACGACACCAGGTTATAGTGCAACAGGTTTATTTGAAATCATGTGCTTTGGAAGCACTGCTTCTTTGTCAGGTGAAGTGGAGGGAAGTGCACAGGTACTGTAAAACTGTACAAACTAATTAAGGAAGAGAGATCATAACAAGTTATCAAGGTGATGGTGTCAAAACATAACAGTAAGACAGATTTTAAGCACAGAACAGCATGGTGGGCCAAATTAGTTTGCACAGTTTTGATTACTTGTTACTTTGGCTAAACCATTTTTAATGCAACTCTTATACCAATCATGTTATTCCAGCCATTTGGTTTGTCTCTAGCACCATCTTATTTTTGATTGTTTGGAATTATCGCTGAACCTCAATTAATCGAATCACAGGTCATCCCTTCACTTGCTATTCAGTTGTTGACATTTTACTCACACCATCTGACACTTTTGTTCACCTGCAGAGATTTGTTGCTCAGCCTGTCAACACTTCACTCACACTATTTGTACTATCCTTTGACACTCCTAATTAACTGGAATTATCCTGCAATGATCTTTCTGCCTGTAAATTCTCTGCTTGTGCGCTTCCCTCCACTTCACCTGACAAAGGAGCAGCGCTCTGAAAGCTTGTGAGACCAAATGAACCTGTTGGACTATAATCTGGTGTGTGTGACTTCTGACTTCCTGAGATAGGGATACTGAAATCGCACACAGTACTTCAGGTACAATCTAACGAAGCTCCTTTATAATTGGAGCAAGAGTTCACTGCGCTTGTTCTCAAATCCTCTTGCATTAAAGGATGACATTCCATTAGCCTTCCTGATAGCTTACTTCACACACATGTTAGCCTTCAGTGACTTCGCAACAAAGAAACCTACATATGTCTATGCTTCCCAACCTCTTACCATTTAAGAGATGATCTGTGCATCTTTTTCTCTTTACAAAGTGAATAATCTCACATTTTTCAATACTATATTCTGTCTGCCATTTTTTGTCCACTCAATAAGCCAGTTAAAATCCTCCTGATACCATTTTACATCTTTCTCACAATGCATGTTCCCACTTAGTTTCATATAATTGCAAATTTGGAAATATTACATCCAACTCATTGATATATATTGTGACCGGCTGGTGCCAAGGACTGATCTTGCAGGACCCCACTAGTCTCAGCCTGTTAAGGAGAAAATGCACAATTTATTCCTGCTCTCTGTTCTTTGCCTGTCTGTCAGTCCTTATTCCATGACGGTACATTACCTCCGATTTCTAAATAAAAACCAAAAGAACTGCGGATGCTGTAAATCAGGAACAAAAACAGAAGTTGCTGGAAGCTCAGCAGGTCTAGCTGCATCCATGGAGAAAAAGGCAGAGTTGACGTTTCGGGTCCGATGACGCTTCCTCTCTGAGTCCTTTATGCTCTAAGGAAGACATAGAGGAGTCATTGATGAGACATCTTCAGTTTGTCATTATCTTAGTGTTCTGCATTCTGTTATGTCAATTCCCAATTTATCTTCAATTATTCTCTATCAACTCTTACAATTGCCACTCGATCAGGCAGCCACCCAGTACCTGGTCTGACCGCACGTGCAACTGTTCTAAAAGCCAAAATAATAGGAACTTCTCAATTTCTTTTCATGGGAACTTCAACTCAATCTCCCCGTTCCTTGCTTTATTCTTCTGCTTGTCAATCATACATTCGGTCTGGAAGTGGGATACTTGCGGAGCTGGGAGTGGTTGTAAAAGATAAATAAACCTGCATTTCATTTCTGAAATGGTTAAAATAATCTCTGTTGCAATTTTCACGCATCTAGTTTTCAGACATATAATTGTCCATACCTTTAAGTAGGCAGGCCACCCTACTTGCAACACAGTCTAGATTAAAATATATTCCACTTGTTCCTTGAATGCATTTCAAACCAGTCTTTTTGTTTTTATATTTTCAGGGCAAATTCATGAAATTTATTTTTGGTGGTCACAGTTATGAGCTGTTAGCCATGACATAGTTGCAAACAGTCTTGTCTCTGAGAAGACTGTTAATTCAAATTTACTTCAGGGACCTGAACAATCTAAGATGACATTTCAGTGCTCTTCTGTGGGAGTGGTAACAGATTAAATTGAGGTCCTATCTGCATTCTTCATCCCTTTTTAGGTGGATGTAAAAGATACCACAGCACTATTCAAAGAAAAGAGTTTCTTCTGGTATCCTGGCCAATATTTATCCCTCAATTAACACTGAAAACTCATTATTTGGTTACTTATTTTGTTGCTATTTGAGAGCTTTATGTGAACACTTTGCAGCATTTCCTGGTTTAAAATGTTTGCTGCAGTTCAAGAGTACTAAATTAGCTGTGAAGCATTTGAGATATCATGAGTTTATTAAAAGTGTCATAGAAATGCAGGTCTGTCTTTCTAATGCTTCTTTATGGACACAAATACCTCTATTATTGTAACCTGTGGCTCTGAAATAACAGAATTGAAAGAAGCACTGCAAGTTGCAAAAATAAGGCATTGTATGCCTTTTAGGCAAAATCAGCAACACCATCTTCATAGAATCCCTACAGTGTGGAAACAAGCCCTTCAGCCCAACAAGTCCACACCAATCCTCAGAGTATCCCAACCAGACCCATCCCCCTATAACCCACCTAATCTACACATCCCTGAACACTACGGGCAATTTAGCATGGCCAATCCACCTAACCAGCACATCTTTGGATTGTGGGAGGAAACCGGAGCACCTGGAGGAAACCCACGCAGACACGAAGAGAATACGCAAACTCCACACAGACAGTCACCTGAGGCTGGAATCGAATGTGGGTTGCTGGTGCTGTTAGGCAGCAGTGCTAACGACTGAGCCACTGTGCTGCCCTCAAATAATCTTCTTCTATCATTTTATGCTTTGCAAAGCCAGAAGTCCTAAGTCAATTCCAAGCAGAACTGGTGCCACCTGCACCCACCATATTTGTAATTCAGCTGGTATGACAGGTGTAATTGTGAGCCTTCTGCAGCTGTCACTGCTCTACCATGTGCTGGTTTGGGAAATGGGGTCAGGCTGTAAGTGACACCATTTGATTATATTCTTATGTTTGATGGCTCAATGGTAAAATTAGAAAATCCATCAACACAAATATCAAAATTAAGCGATGCAGTTCCTTTAATAAATCAATAAATATAGCAAGGTTTTGTAAAAATTTTGTAGTTACTACAATGTTTTGGAATTATGCCAATGAAATATATCTGTTAGGCAAAAAATACATTTTAATGATTTTCCAAAACCCATTAAAGCTTTTAGGAGTCATTGATTATATTAGACCATAATATTGTATAAAGAATTGAATATTGCCATGCAATAGATTGTTGGTGCAGTTTGTGTTTGGGTTTTGAAAACAAGTGATTTATTTGTTGAAAGGGGCTCACATTTCTGTTGTGGCTAACTTTATGATCTGAGGATTTTAGAGTGGATTCAACTACTCAACTAAAATGTCTCTAGATTCTTTCGTAACAATATTTAATATACTTCTGTAACCTTTCTGCCTTTTAATATGCCTGGCTCAGAAAATGTTACCAATCTCAGATGTAACATTAGTTAAGCTAGCATCTCCACTTTTTTTAAGGACAGATGTCTACATTTCTACCACTCTTTGTATGTGCAACTACTCCTACATTGCTCCTGGATGATGTGAATCTGAATTTAATGTTTTGTCCTTTTGCCCCAGATTTTCCCACCATCGAGGCAAAGGCAATCAGTTTGGGCTTGTGTGTGTAACTCAACAATTAGTGATTCACTTGTGCACATGATTCAAATTCCCTATACATCAGGAAACTGCCTCTTCAGTTAAACTGAGTTTCCTAGAGTTTTAATCTTATTAATTTTAATGTGCATACTTCCTGTGTTGTAATAGCCTTGTGAACCCAAGCCTTTGCCTGATATTTAAACACAAATGATGATTGACCAAATATTGTGCTTGATGTGAAGAGAGTCAAGTTCAATTTAAAAACTAGATGTGTTCTTTGGTATAGAAATTTAGCACTAAACTGTTCTTTCAAAAGTGTCGTCATGAGCCTTGAGCTGACTGAATACTTAGTATCATTTGTTGTTACCTAAAGTCATGGTTTGAATTGGTGTTATTCTTCAGCTAAGTAGAAAGCCATGACTTACGTAGCTTGAAAACCAATGATTTCTCTGATAAACCTGATGGATTTTGTTTAGCACAATTGGTTAATTTTTATTGTTTGCATTCAACTAAAGATAAATGGTTCTTATTGATAGAATTTCTATTACTGAGAACATTGCTGTACATCAAAGCAAAGTTACTTCTCCTCATTCAGCCTCAGGGAGTGAGAGGTGCTACCTTCTATTACTGCTGGGCTTGTTAAACTACTGATAGTAGTTTGACGCAACTAACTGGCTTTGCAGGTTACTTCAAGACAATAGTTACCAGCCACACAGAGGCAGACTGGGTAAAAACGGTGATTTCCTGCTCTAAAATCATATCATTAAACCAGCTGCATTTTTACAATAATCTGGCAGCTTCATTGTCAGGTTTCTGACCCAGTGTTTTTGTTCCTAGAATTTTTTTTTGCAAACAATTCACATTTCCCAATGCCACAATGGGATTTGTGTGCTCTGAATTATTTGCCTATACCTCTGGGTTACTAGTCAAGTAACATAGCTATGCATGGTTGTATCTTAGGCTTTGCCTGTGGAACAAGTAGTAATCCTGATTGTTTCTGTTTGATACAAACCCAGAGGAATGTTCTCAGCCCTCGAATGCATGGCAATAGTGAGAAATTTGGGAGAATACTGTCAGAATGAAAAAAAAGTGAATTGCAACATCCAACAAAACAAGAGTCCGACAAGGTTTCAGTAGATGAGAGTCTCACTGGTAAACGGTGAGGACCTTATCTCCATGCATTTGCCTTTCAGTATTAACTAATCCCACCTCATTTCCCTGCGGTTTATGATTCTGGAAGACACTGACAAGAAATTAGGTCTCTCCAATTCCTGACTTGGAAGTCTGAGCAGTTACCTGATGGATGAAGCTTGTTGGTTGCTTTTCTGAGCCTCTGCGCTCAGCTTTATTCAGCAACATCTTAACAACTTAACTACCTCAACACTACATTACTACATTGAGGAACTCACTGACACTTTATATTGCAATGCTGCGGCTGAGTTGCTGCACATTCAGGAATGCGCACCCACCTCATGCATCTGCATAGGATGTATCTCAGCTCTGTTAGATTGATTTCTTTGCAGTACTCACTTTGCACTTAATTGGAGGTTCGCAGCATCTGTGACTCACATTGCTTCTCAGCGCAGACAGAAAGCCAGCTTGTCATGGCTACTAGCACTGACCAGGCAAGGAGGAAGACATGTTGCTCGAAGGTGGTGTACTAATAATGTCACACCTACAACATGCAGCAGTATTGTACGCAGCAAAAGCATTGCATGTGTTTCAACCAAATGGCCAAGCCTGCAAGTCAAAGGGGAGCAGCCAATAATTGAGTGAAGGGGAACCATGTTTTCTCAGGAGTGCTGCCACACTCAGTCGAGACATCTCAGTTCAGGGGGTTTGACCACTATTAGTCCTGAGGGTATGGGTACTAAATATTAAGGTTGGTCATCGGGGAGCAGTCAATTCTCCGGTCTGTGGGAAGGTGGGAAACTCAAATGTGGAGGATGGAGCCATCGGCAAGTGAAGAAGGCAGGAAGGCTTTGTAGTTTGCAGAGATGAGTTGGGAGAGGCTTATTGAGTCAAAATGTTGCATGCAATAGCGAGAGTGGTAGTCCATTAGTATTGGAGGGAATTTTAAGCAATGGCAGCATTAAAGTGAGTGTGAGACAGCATAAAGAGTGGCAGTTAGCACTGTGGAGCGCAGAGGGTCATTGATCTTCTTTCTACATTACAGGGCATTATTCTCACTAGGATAGTGGCCTGACTCTGGTGGCTATCTTGGTCCAGACTGGCAATGCCTGATGCCATAAGAACCTCCTCCCTACCACCCCATCAGCCATGACCTCAAGGTCCCTGTTCATGAACAGAGATGTAGCATCCATTTCTCAACCATCTCCTCAAAGCAGCAGGCAAGCCACAAACTTTGAATGTCAGTTGCTGACTTGCAGCCTGGTACCCGTAGACCATAAGACCATAAGTTATAGGAGCAGAATTAGGCCATTCAGCCCATCGGGTCTACTTCATCAACCATTCAGTCATGGCAGATCTGTTACTCAAACCTATTCTCCTGCCTTCTTCCAGTAACCCTTGATCTCCTTACCAATCAAGAACCTATCTATTCCTGCCTTAAATACAGTCAATGACTTGGCCTCCACACCCCTCTGTGGCAATGCATTCCACACATTAACCACCCTTTGGCTGAAGAAATTCCTCCTCATCTCAGTTCTAAAGGGTTGATCCTTCACTCTGAGTCTGTGCCCTCGGCTCTTAGTATCTCCTGCTGGTAGAAACACCTTCTCCATGCCCTCTGTATCCAGGCCCCTCAGTATTCTGTAAGTTTCAATCAGATCCCCCCTCATCCTTGTAAACTCCATCGAGTACAGACCCAGAGTCCTCAGCTGCTCCTCATACAAGCCCTTCATCCCCAGGATCATTCTTGAAAACCACCTTTGGACCCCCTCAAGGCCAGCACATCTTTCCTTACATCCGGGGCCCAAAACTGCTCACAATATTCCAAATGCAGTCTGACCAGAGCTTTATACAGCCTTAGCAGTACGTTTGTGCTCTTGTATTTTAGCCCTCTTGAAAAGAATGCTAAATTGCATTTGCCTTCCTAACTGCCAACTGAACCTGCATGTTAACCTTATGAGAATCCTGAACTAGGATTGAACAAGGACTCCTGAAGTTCCTTTGTGCTTCAGATTTCTGCAGCCTTTCCCTGCGTCCATTCTTCCTACCAAAGTGCATAACCTCACACTTTCCCACATTGTATTCCATCTGCTGCTTCTCTGCCCACTCTCCTAGTCTGCCCAAGTCCTTCTGCAGCCTCGCCACTTCCTCAACACTGTCTTGTGTCATCTGCAAGTCTCACAATGTCCTCACTTCCTTCGTCCACATCATTAATGTATAACGTGAACAGTTGTGGTCCCAACACTGACCCCTGCAGAACTCACTCCACTTGTCACCGAGTGCCATTTTGAAAAAGACCCATTTATCCCCACTCTCTGCTTTGTGCCCATCAGTCAATCCTCTATCTATGTCTATAACACCATGCCTATAACACCATGAGCACTTATTTAGCAGCCTCCTGTCCCAACACCTTGTCAAAATCCTTCTGGAAATCTAAGTAGATCACGTCCACTGGCTTTCCTTTGTCGAACTTGCTTGCTACCTCCCCAAAGAATTCTAATAGATTTATCAGATCTCCCCTTGATGAAGCCGTACTGACTCTGCCCCATTTTATCATGCATTTCCTATTGTTAATAATGGGCTCAAGAATCTTATCAACACCCAAGGTCAGGCTAACCAGCCTATTTTCTGCGTCCCTCCCTTCTTAAACAGGGTTGTTACATTTGCCATTTTCCAGTCCTCGGGGACCCTCCCTGACTCCAGTGATTCCTGAAAGATCACCACTAACGCCTCTACAATCTCCTCAGCTATTTCCTTCGGAACTTGGGGTATAGTTCATCTGGTCTGGTTGATTTATCCTCCTTCAGACCTTTCAGCTTCCCCAGCACCTTCTCCTTAATGAGGGCAACTAGACTCACCTCTGCCCACTGATTCTCTTGAAGTTCTGGTAAGCAGCTGGTGTCTTCCACTGTTTAATCTGATGCAAAGTATCTATTCAGTTCAGTCACTATTTCTTTCCTCTTGTTGTCTGCTTCTCCAGCCTCATTTTCCTGTGGTCTAATGTCCACTCTTGCCTTTTTCATAGAATCCCTATAGTGTGGAAACAGGCTGTTTGGCCCACACCGACCCACAGAACATTCCACTCAGACCCATAAACCCAACTAATCTACACATTCCTGAACACTATAGGCAATTTAGCATGGCCAGTACACCTAGTCTGCACATCTTTGGACTGTGGGAGGAAACCGGAGCATCCGGAGAAAACTCATGCAGACACGGGGAGAATGTACAAATGCCACACAGACAGTCACCCAAAGGTGGAATCAAACCGGGGTCCCTGGCGTTGTGAGGCAGCAGTGCTAACCACTAAGCCACCGTACCGCCGAGATTAGTTTAGAAGTATAAAGAAATTGCGAGCTATGCTTGAGCCAGGTAGGAGTCAAACCTACAATCTCCTGATCCATAGTCAGGCAGGTTATCCATTGCGCCACTGGCTCTTTCTCTTCACCTTTTTATAGGCATGCCTCACTTTGGATGGGATCTCTCCTTCCTGACCATACACACCTTACTGATCCCATGTTGTCAACACTGGAAGGAGGTGGCAGTGGTCAGCACCTCCACCTCTGAGACTACATGATTCAACAAGAGAGGTGCAAAGAGACTGGGTGAATCAAGTGAGGAGCAGAAGATGGCCAAGGCACATGGAGCAAAACACTATGAAACTCTCCAAACGTCACACAGCCAAAAATGGGAAAATTCAGCCCAACAATTTCCCTGTGATCCTACACAATATAACATGTCAATAAGTATACTCTCTCAGCTTGTTAATTTTAACAGGTATAGAGCAGCATATCTTGCAACTGCTAAGTTTAGACTCCATTAAAATATGGCACAACAAATTTGTGTCCTAGTGAGATATGCAATTAACCGGAATCAGGTCTTATTAGCATAATTAATGTCAGCAGCAAGACAAGGTAGAATTTATGTTTTTAAATGATAGAACTTTAGTTGTGGTTAAATACTTTTCAACAGGCCAAGTGAAGAGAGCTGACCAGGGGAGTGGGATCAGCAGGGGAAGCTGACCAGGGGAGTGGGATCAGCAGGGGGAGCTGACCAGGGGAGTGGGATCAGCAGGGGGAGCTGACCAGGGGAGTGGGATCAGCAGGGGAAGCTGATCAGGGGAGTGGAATCAGCGGAGGGAGCTGACCAGGGGAGCAGGATCAGCGGAGGGAGCTGACCAGAGGAGCGGGATCAGCGGAGGGAGCTGACCAGGGGAGCGGGATCAGCGGAGGGAGCTGACCAGGGGAGCGGGATCAGCAGGGGGAGCTGACCAGGGG